GCTGGGAAAAGCACCATTAATGAGGGCAGTAAATGCACACTGAAGAAAGAACTGCTTTAGATTAAGGCCCATCCATGCCTCAGACATTTGGTTTTCGCCTTCGAGACGTGTCTTTTTTGACTTCTAAGATAAGCTGCATCACTTAACCTCAGTACCCAAAACTGTCCTAAATACTTCACTAATCACAGCAAAGCCTAACGCTGGATACCCCAGGAATACTGGCTACTAGGAACAGGTGAACTTTTTGGCCTTAGCTCCTCTAGAAATAAGTTCTGTACTAAGTCATCGCTTTTTAGCCCCAGGAAATCAAATGGAAAATGTGCATTTCTGCAGCTCAAAACTGTCGAAGCTGTAGGATCAGGTCAGCAGCCACCACAAGCTAGCATCTCTGTTACAGCAGCAGCAACAGGGTACTGAAGATCGAGTTTTAACAGCTCTATCAGACGCTTTGCTACCCAGTCTGGCTGCACAACCTCAGCAGAGGTTACATCTATTCACATTTGCTATGGAACAGCAAATAAAATTTGTTCTTGCATACTGCTTTGTCAGGAGCAAAGAAAGGACAGAGAAGGAGAAGGGGAGGAAAAAGAGATAAACTGGAGGGCAGAGAAGTTTTCTGGAAAGACTAAAGGCCCTGAAATTGCAGACAGAATTAGAGATACGCTGTGTCCTCAACTGAGCTGTCCTTCTAATTGGGAAAAATAATGGCTGTAAACATCCATCCTCCACCCGAACCACAATTGTTTTGATTTCATTATTTCCTAAGCAGCAGCAACACACATAACGCTACATAAAGCATAAATCAAGTCTCTCTGTTTCAAAGAAATTCCAGTCTAGGAGAGACAGAATTTTAAGACCAGAAGGAACATTTAAGAGTTAACTTCAGAGGGAATTTTCTCCCCCCCAGGAGAAAGCAGCGTGGAAAACTTAAGTCTCAGATGGATGTAAATGGGGACGGTGCAGAAGAAGACTGGGCTAAGTAATACACATTTATTTTTATGTTGTCAGGACACTGTGATTTCATATACAGTGTGCCCATATGGCACTTCGATGCATAGGATTTGTAAACCTTTCAATTAGCACTGATAGTAGAAAGGAGGCAGTTATTTAAAGTAACCCATACGGCATCTTTCCGTGTAAAAATTCTAACTCCCCGGTACTGGACAGGCTTCCTGTTGGGCAACTCGGGTGCCTAGACAAACCCCCAAAAGGCTGTGGAGAACCAGGCACGAGACACCACCTGGGAGGTGTTCACAGCCCCAACAGGACAGAGAAGCAGACCCCACCCCTGCGCCAGGATGCTTCCATCATTCACCATGGGTGTACATAGTCCCCGTCTTCCCCCATAAGGTTTCAACGTGGAGGGTCGCCTCCGAGATGCTGGGGAACATTACCCAGATTACTGCTGTCCTTCGAAGCCCAGCAGATGCAGTAGTGCTGCATTAGTTGTTCAAACAGTTCCTTTTCATCGAGGAATTCAAGTCCTTCTATTCTGTAGGAATACAATAAAAATCGTGATTCAAGCTGGAGCCTCAGTACAGTTTTTAACACAGTCTTCTACACCCCACAGCAGTGAAAACCGTGGCCAACAAGGCAGTCAACCTTCCAGTAAATTAATACAGGTCTTTGTCCATGATGAAGATACCACGCTGCTCCTAGCCTTTGCTGTCAACGTATGAGACAAGTGACCCACAGGATGTTTTCAACTTCTCATTCCTGGAATTTCATAAACTGAATTACTCCTCATAAATACCAGTATTTCTCTTCTAACCCCTTCGCTGCACGTATCTGGTCTTGCCGGATTTAAGCAGACACAACAGTACAGCCTAATGGAAGGAGATTTATCTTTACCAAAGGATTACAGTGAACAGTTGAAGACAGTACATTCTCCAGACAATCACAACAAGTCCATATTATCTCTTGGAAGAGTGATGGGTACACCAGTGCAGCTTCTAACAACTCTCCCACATGAGCTCATGATGAAGCACAAACCAAATGGTACATAAAAGATCTGAGGATTTGTTTCCTAAAATGGTTCCTACCTAGGATTCCTAAAGTAAGATCTTTGAGTGTCTTCCTCCAAACAAATCTGAGAACTTCTCCCAAGCTGTGCTCGCTTTAAAAAAAAGTTTAACCTGGCACATTCCCCTCTCTCACTCTAGATCACCCGAATATCAGAGTGTTTATTTTCCATGCTAAATATTTGGAAGGGCTGCTGCGAGGATCAAAAGAGGCAGAGGGGCAAAAGTTCCTAAACACACTCACAGATGTGCACGTGCTGCAGAAAAATACTTTTGTTAAGATTTTTATAACTAGAAAGAATTATTTGCCTCATTAATACCGAAGGACAGAGTCTACGTAACCTATTTCTTGGCATTTGGGAACAGGTGGAAGGAGCCAAACAGATCTAAGGTAGTCAAAAACGCTGCAAAAAAAGTACAAGCTACGTCTCTCCACAAGTGCCATATGGCACAGCCACACAGTCATCGTTCCTGTTTAAACAACTGTCAGGGGCTGCGGCAGGGCTGACCACTCAGGAATGACAGATGCTCCCTATTAACCCCTCTCCCCTCCCAGAAGGGAGAGACAGAGTAAGGGAGAGACTTAGGGGTTAGAAAAGAAAACTACAACAGCTTTAATGAAACAGTAAAAGATAATAATGGTAGAAAGGAAATACTGAAATGCACACAAATATATACAAGCCCAATATTGAACCCAGGCCCCCTGATGACGATACCTCCCCACTGACGCTGCAGGGCTGGCGCTGGGGAGGTCCCAGGCTGGACTCAGCAGCAGATGGGAACTGGATTCAGGAACGCAGGGATCGACTGACAGAGCCCTCCTCGGACACCGGCCACGGGAGAGGGCTTAACCCTTGTGATCCCCCAGCTTTATACTGACTGTGACGTCCAGGGGATGCAATACTCAGTTGGTCAGGTTTGGGTCACCTGCCCAGTTTGCCCCTCCCCACACGTGTGACCTTTTCGCTCACTTAGGGCACCCCACCATGGCGCCCAAGACTTAGCAGTGACCTTGGTTTTGATAGGAGCAAGTGTAAGCAAAAGCCTTTCTGCATGCCATGCCTCGGTACTAACTCTAAACACCAAGCTCTATCACTACGAGATGCAGCCACTGTCTGGAAAAACGTGCTGTCGACTTCAGAAAGTGCAGTCAGTTAGGAGAGACCGAGCTGAAAAGCAAAATCACTGAGCAGAATTAGCTCTGTTCTAGCTCAAACCAGGACAACCACCCATGACTTTCAGACTCACCTGTTCAGTTCCATGGTTTGAGAAATCCCCACATGTGAATACTTGTTTTGACCAAGGTAACTTGTTCAGCTCATTCAAACTATAGTTAATGAATGACTCATAGCAATTCACACTTCATATTATATACCCAAGAAGTCACTCATCAGAAAGTTTTCCCCCTTCTAGCTTTTCTTTAATGCAAAAAATTTAACAAAATCCATGCAGATTATTGACTGTTGTAACAGCCTTTAGTTACACCTCTGTGTACTGAGCTCTGTCTACAGACCCAGCAGTCCAGCTCATGAAGCTGGCACGAATGGCAGATGCATCCATCTGTTGGACACACCTCTCCTCTCTCTCCCTCCTTGCTCGCATAGTACAACAGGTCACAGCACTAAATTACTGTCCTGCCTTGGTTCTTTACCTAAATAAGCTGCCAAGAAGAAAGGAGGGAAGACCAGAACCGGCCATTTTCCACCCACTTGTAGTAAAAAAGCAAACGGGTAAGTAACCTTACCTAGGCCTACAAGACTGGAGCAAACACCTGGATGTCATCTCCCTTGGGGACATGAAAAGTGGCTGCCTGTTCCGAGTGTATTTGAGGACTCCACCCATCTAGTGTTGTGGAGGCTGGATGTTCGCAAGGACTGTACTGAACAGGGCGCTGTAAAAACTCCACACAGCACTTCTGTAGCACCTTTCATCTGCAAATCTCTGTCATGAGATGCTTTATATCGCACCCAAACAACAGACCACCACTGCCAGGCTACTCCTGGCAGCAATAACCCTCTGGATCACTAATGTTGCTCCAGGCATTATCCTTAAGGCTCTGCAGAGCTTCAGACTCAGACACGTTCCATCCACCCAGCTAGCACCCACACGCAGCCTCCTCTCTCTTATACCGGGGATCACATGCTACATATTGACGTGAACTACCATGGAAGTGGCATCTGAAGACGACTTTCGGCCGCAAGCAAGCGATCAGTAATACCTTTTGATGTCAGCCTCTGGCAAAAAGCTGTACACTTTCATCATATCAATGGCACGTGCAGTTTCCCAGCCATTTAACAGCAATCGTTCCCTCTGTAAAATAAACAAGCAGCACAGTTTTCAGAGGACTTGAGGAAAAATACCAGGTAACAGTTTTTCCCCCCCGAAGGATTTTGTAGGCCATCTGTCTGACCTGCCCTTCGAAGAGCTCTTATACTCTTTTCTAAGCATCTGCTGCTAACCTCTGCGCAGAGAGGACAGTGATGGAGCTGCGCGCTGATCTACGGCAGTTTTTGTACAACTACCAAAACGAAGCGACATCGAGCAACCACGGCACTGATACCAGGGAACCACTGTAACAGTGCCCCACCCTAAACCCGCTTTGGTCACTGCCCTGAGCCTGACAGGGCACACACAGGGACAGACCTTGCAGCAGGTTAAGTTTGATATCAAACACACCCAGAGCTCTGCGACCCTTTTACCTGAGAGTCTAAGGATCTGCAGACTTCCACTCCAGCCAGGTTACACTGTCGTCTCTGCAAGTTCTCAATCATGATCTGTCCAAACCGGTCCGTCATATTCACCTCAGGTAGAGAAGGAGACAAAAGTGTTCCCCCTTCCGAAAAGAACGTCATCGCAGTGAAAAGCAGTAACTTGGTTAAACTCTCGAGTGGTCTATGTCATAAAACGTACAGGGCAGCACTACAGGAAGTTTCACAGCCTTACACCAGGTCTCACCCCGCTGCCACAACCTCCTCAGCTACCTCGTGTTCGCAGCTGCCTGCTAGTTTAACGGTGACAATGCTGCTGCCTTTACAGACACGGGGACCGGGCACTGAAAACTGACTCTGCTTTAAGTTCTTGGCAACGTGGTTCAGCTCTCTAGCAGTGATTTACAGCTTGGAAGATCCTGCTGCTAATTCCTGGAGCCACCTAGTTCCCCCGAGGCAGCATTTTACTTCCATACAGAGAAGCTGAGTTCGGGCTGATAGGATTTTTGCTCCACTTTGCCAAAGAACACAGAGAGGGAATTACGTAACGTTATACGCTCATTTCCAACATTCACCATCATTTCTTTTTCCTCTGTCTTATCTAAACCAATATTCTACGGTTTTCTCCACATATGGATTAAGTCTCAGTTATTTTGGTTCAACATAGCCCAGAAATTGGCTTTCAGAATAGCTGTATGTTCTTTGCAACGAGCTAACAGATCTACAAGATAAAACACATTATTCTAAAGAAATTCAGCAGAAACTGCTGTCTATACGAAAGGATATGGCCAACTCCTAGTTTACAAGCAGAACTCCCGCTTTCGAGAGCAATTTTTATGACAATAACGCAGGTCTTAAAATGCCATTTTTGTTTTACCTGCTCATAATTTATAAACATCACCACTGGAAAAGTGCTTGCTGCCCACTTTAAAAGATTTGCAGATTGCTGTGGTGTCATGTAAACCAGCACACACTCCGCTACCAGAAGCGTTGGCAAACTTTAAAACAAAAAAACAAGAGAACTATTTCTAGCAAAGAACAAGAAAAATCTATAAAGAATTATTAGCAAGCAAGTCATTTCGTGTCCCCAAAGTTTCTTAAAAGAGCTACCCTTTTTATGAACTTTTTTATTTACCCTTTTAATGAATGAAACCACTTCATCAGGTTGACTAGAACGGGGTTTTCTGACAGTCAACGAATTAACCGCGGGGTCACCCATGGTTACAAGGCAGAGGCATTAGGAAACAATCCCCCCTAAGTCAGCCACACTACGAAGACAGAAGAATGTGTGTTCTCTAAGTCTTCTCTGAACTGTGACAGCATGAACTGAAAGTACACATCAAAATTCATTTTGCAGAAGAATTGTACCTTGTATACACAATCCGCACTCTTTTAGAGATCAGTAAAATACAAATTGGAAAAAAAAAAACCTTTTCTCTCTAAAAAAGTTCTTAAAATAATTTTAATTAGACAAATCTGTTCAATATCTGCAAAATAAGCTTCACATATTATTACCTAACAAAATTCAGTCTCTAGTTCGCACATTGCCTCTTCCTCCTCCATTTACAAAAAAACCCCAAAAAATAGACATCTACACAAGTAATGTTCCTTAGAATTACAGAGTTTTCTTTTAATTGCTAGAATGAACAGGAAAAGTCACTAGAAGCAGGAGAAATTCCACAAGGAGCAGCAATGTAGGCAAGCAAGGCAAGATTTCAAAAGATGGAAGTGTAAAAATTTAAATGGCAATTTGATGCATTCTGCTTACCCATATGCTCTCTCCCACCCAGCCAGATAGCCGCTATAAATATATCTCATATTTGAAAGGTATGTCCATCATCCACTCTGAAAACTTAAATCCTGCCCCCTCCAGAAGCCTAACGCTTGAACAATCAAATCCCAGCGATTAGCTTCCGGAGGGAAGTTCTCAAAGGACTCCATGGCAATCGCTTGACCAGAAGGTCTAGGGAACAATAGGGGGTTTAAGTGGAGGCAATAGAAAATAATTACCAAGATAAAACTCTGAAATAATTGAACATTTGACAGCATTGTTCTTCATTTTACCAGCTAAGCTCTTAGAAATCTGGGCTCCTGCAGCCCTTCCAATAGGGGTGGCAGATGTTCACTGATCTAGGTACTGCCCGTCAGCCAGCAATAAAACTAAATGCAACCGAACCAACTCTTTAAAAAGGCAATTTATGACATTTTGACACATTTCTAGTTTAGAGACTCCCCTTGAATAACATCTGATTCTATCAATAAAATTTCAACCAATTCAAGTAAGGAGTAACTCTTAGAAATCTCCAAAGGAGTTAAATTCATGAAGCAGAGAAAGAAAACTCGTATGAACTCTGAGGCAGAAAATGGCTGCTGCGGGAACTCATCCCCTCCAGGGCAAGCGACGGGGGAAAGCGAGAAGGAATCAGAGCTGCCTGCCCTGCACCAAGGGCTTTACTCCTGCCAAAGGATCACACCCCCCGAAGAGCAGCAGCCACCAGAAGCACATGCACAGAAAGCCATACTTCATTCTCCCCAGCGTGCTGAGAACCAGCAGCAAATAGTTCCAGAGTGTTTGATCTTCTCAGGAAGGACAGAACGGCAGTTTGCAGAACAGACTATGCCAGGAACAACCTTGCCTCAGACTCGGCCACGGCAACGCCAGCCTGCTCGGCTCAGGGAGGCTGCAGGAGGTGTCTGAACAATTCCTTCTGCTCAAAGGGCTCCGGCAAAGGTAACCATGGAAATCGCATAATAAGCCCTGGGTGCAGATACTGTGTGCCCGAGCCTGACTTTACTCTCACCAGCACGCTTCCACAAGCCCTCATTAAAAATAAAGAAATCTTACTGTATATCCAGGTTATGTTTCTTTAGCTTTTCCTCCAGATCTGATGAGAAACGGAGATCTGCTCCTACTATGGAATATCGACTGGAGTCTAGGCTGTGAGAATCTGCAAGTTTAAAATTTTGAGAGACTATTGGTTACAAATAAGAGGGATGAAATCAAAAAATACAATACAGGAACATATGAATTTGAAGGCAAAGTTCGCTCTGTTATACCTAGCAAATAACAGTAAACTCTTCTTTTTAAAACATTAATTTCCCTTAAACCTGATTGTTTCGGTTAACTGGCGGTGATAAATTAGCATCAGACTCTGCAATAAGCATACTCTCTCACTCTGCAGCCACTCTAATGCAGATAGGCCATCCCATCCGTTACCATGGTTTCAAGGAATGCAGAGAGAAGAGAAAAGTGAATATTAAGGCAGGGTTTTTTGTTTTGTTTGTAGAGTCTTTTTAGATGACCCAACGTATGTACATAAGGAACTAGATTAAAAAAAACGTACATCAATTTCTGAAAAACTAAGTGAAGAGTAACAATGTTCCAAATATTAACAATAGATACAGATACAGAAACTAACACTACATATAGCTATGTAATACATATGGGTATCAGACACAGATTTGGGGGCCAAAAAAAAGTTATCATTTAGCCTTTTTGTATGATTTAGCGATGGCATTTAAGTGTAGAGTCAAATTAGAAAAGGTATTCTGAGAACCAAACATTCACCCTGGGACACCACAGGCAGCAAGCTCCTGTAAATGCTTTCCAACACGAAGCAGGAACTAGCACTGGAGTCAAAAGACGCTTCGCCGTACCAGCAAAACTGCGAGGAAGCCAGCAGCAACCTGGGCATCTCGCGATCAGGGCTTCTGACAACCAGTTGCAACCAACTCAACCAGATGAGCCCAGTCCCCGCTTTACATTTAAAGTCGGCAAGTTCTGCGGGAATATATCAGATTGCTCTTCCGTGCTTCAGCTTTACCAGAGCGAAGTCATTAGGACGGAATAGCACATCATTTCCCCCTCTTTACCACACGAGAGCAAGCAGCAAGGCCAGCTAGCCAGTGACAAACCCCCAGAGCAGGGCTTCACAGCGGTCTCGTGACAGCCAGTCCGTATCTGTCTGCAGCAGCCGGCTCTGGCACAGCTCCGTTTGGGATCCTGCACTACGGGAGCAGACGTCAAGAGGCAGGTGAAGAGAGAAACAGAAGCCAAGTGGCTGAAGAGAAGGCGTTTTCTGCTTCAGGAGAGGGGAAAAAAATAAATGGGGGGTTGGAGGGGGGGGGGAAGGTGACTTATTGAATCAAGCAGCGCTTCAGACATTCTGGAAGATGTCCCTCCTTTTAGTTCTCAAGTGACCAACTGTTTGAAAATGGCGCTGGCAAGCGACAATAGCTGTCCTTCCCGCAGCGCTTCTGAAGAGATACGGAAACCAGAG